CTGAGCGTGCAAAAAGGATTTCAGGAGGGTAAATTATAGCTCTATTTGCTCATTTGAAAGAAAAACATAAAACAAAAAAGGCGAGAAATAAAATTATTGGCTTTTTAGCACTGGCGGAAGCAGTGATTGATTAACTCACTATATCAGGCGTCTGTCATGTGTTTTTAAAACTACTCAGACTGCTGACTGAAGTGCTTATGACTTATTGAGAGTCTCAACAGTAGGACAAAAAACAATACCCAGGGAAATCAAAAAAGGTGAACAGTCTAAAGCCACAGTTCACTCAAACACACATTCTGCCCAGCCTCGCCTTCTATTTTTTATTTTATTTTTTTCTTTATTCGAAGTGGGCTAAATGTCTGAGAAAACTGACAAATCCAGTGCAGCGACAGAATGAAGGAGGAGGAGGAAAAGGCTAGGGAGCAGCGGAGGAAGGAGTTACCTGAGGCTCCATGGGTCGGTGCATGGCAGATGCGTCAGACGAGGAGCCGCCGTTGGAGAACGGTTCAGAGGAGCGGGGAGGCAGAGGGGGCTGCTTGGGAGGAGGGGCGGCCTGAGGGGAGCCCTGAATGTTCTTACGGTAGCGCTCGTCGGCCTGAGATGAAGGAATTGTAGAGGGTGGGGGGAAAAAAGGGATGAGTATCAGGGAAAAATTGATCTTGTGGTCTCTTGGGAAACTTTTACATTTAACCAACAACGATCAGCAACAACAGACAGCTGGTGACAATGATATTAAACATGCTTGAAGCCAACTGTGGGCAGCCATACAGACACAGATACATGTGCAGACGTAGGAGGAGAGGGACTCTTTCAAACACATCCCAGGATTCAAGTATGCAGCGGGGGAAAAAGATCGCAGTTAATGACGCAGGCTTCGGCGCCCCTGCGTGTTAGTTTGGGCCTCAGTCATCCACATGCAGCGGCCCAGTCCACACACAGAGTCGACACAGCCACACTGAAGAATTTATCAGACTGGATGTCAAAAGACAAAGAGGAATCCCTGAAAGCTTCTTTATTCTAACTCTCCTAGACCTTAAATATATTTCTCTCTCGTTCAGCCAGCTCGAAATTTAAATTAAGATGACAATGTCCTGATGGATGACGAGCAACAGTGCAAGTGAGAGGAAGAGCAAAGAGACAGCGGAGGAGAGCAGGTTGTTTTATTCAGGACACAAAAAGGTCGGTTGTGAGCCCGTGGTTCTCCCTGGACCCCCTACTTCTTTCCTTCAAAAGGATGACTGTCTGAGCGCGCCTGCACTGTAACGTGTTAGTTATTGCTTTGGACCAGAACACCCACAACAGGCAAGTACGTGGGGAGGAAAACAATCCTTTATCATCATAACCACTGAGGCTGAGTGAAAGCAAGCAAGAAGAGGAAGGTGGAAAGAACAGGCAGAGCCGAGGAGGTTCACCTCTCTGATAGGCTGAGGAGGTTGACTGACAGGCTCGCTGTCGGGCTCCGAGCTTTCTGTCTGGGGAGGGTTAGAGTCAGAGGGGGTTTCAGTCTGAAGGGAGCTGGGGGAGTTTGAGACCCGGCTCAAACTCTCATCAGTCCTCTCCTGCCCTGTTGCCTGGGATTTACTGGTGTCTGCAGGGATCGTCTGAGGGGCTCTGGAGGATTCACAGGCGCCCCTCGCTACAGAGACGGCAGAGTTGAGGACCTGAGCTTGTGGGAGTGTGGCGAGGGCTCTGTCAGGGGGCAGAGTGGCAGCCTGTGGCGGCTTACTATGGTCTGATGGGAGTTTTGTTTTGTCGCCAGGTTGCTGCTTGGAGTCGTGCTGCAGGGACAGCAGGTACGCCTGCTCCTGCTGCAGGCGCTTGTGGAGACGCTCAGCTTTGCGCTGCTCCTCGAGCTCCCGCCACTTGAACTCCTGTCGCAGAGCGTAGGGTTGGTTCAGGGTGGAGAGAAGAGGCAGCGGCCATGTTTGGCCCAACAAGTCTTTACAGAGGCAGACAATGATGGTGATCGTCGTCTCTTTAATCTTTCTTTTGACTCTTAGTCATGTTTGACTTGTGCTGTGCACACAAAACAAACTTGTCTCTCCGAATCATAATTACTATTAAACACGTGAAAGAACAATTTCTTCACATTTCTCTGCAATGTAAACGACTCAAACACCTAGTTAAAAATAAAGCCGCGCTGTGGAGCATTTCCTGATGACATCCACATGTCCGTCCATCATGCATCGCCTGTGTGTTTCAAGGGTGGAGAAGGGCGGGGTGGGTGGGGCAAAAGAGCAAAACCCCACTCCCTAC